AATAGTCAAGTTGTACATTTGTAACTCATCTTTTGACTATAAAAGAACTTACTAAGATTAGTATAAAGAGAAGAAAAAATTGAGGAAGTAATATATTCCAATATGTATCTCATTCTTTGTACATGTAATGGCTATTTATAACCAAAAGATGAGTTACAAATGTATGACTTGACTGTTTTAATTGGTCAAGTGATGGTGGCCCTCCAATGGGTTAGTACCACATGGCATGAGCCTTGACTTTACACTTACTACAGGGTGATGTAATTCTTCAAATTGTTGGGAGCCACATGGCATCCATAATTCTGTACAACATAATTGTTATTTTTTTTTTTACAAAATTATTGACCACATATCAAATTAAACTAAGGTTATAGTAATTCTATATTTTAAGAAAAAAATTATATATTATAAAATTAGTTTAACGAAAATCATTTTAAATAATCATTATTTGCATATTAAAATTTAAAAAATATAACACAAATTGTTAGTCAAAATTCTTATGTTTTACTATTAAAAAAGATGACAATTTAAAATGGACATATGGACCATTTTTTAATTTTTATGAAAATATAATTATTGCATATTAATATATAAAAAACTCAATATAAATAGTCATATTAATTGATCACATTACTGAAGCAATAAAACTTCAATAGTTTTTTTTACTATTCTTGCACATAATTTTATTTCTGAAAGTATTCATATTTATTTATATAATTCACATGAAGTATTTTAAGGCATGATTTAGAAAAAATCTTATTTATGTTTTTAGTTATCGCATAAAATTAATATTGATCAACAAATATGTGACAAATGTAATAACTAACATATAAAATATTTTATTATATTTAATTTTTAAATATAAATAACTTATTTTTATCATGAAGGTTGTAAAAATTTAAATGTTTGAACCACAAAACTACTTTACAGTGTAATTAAAATAAATTCAAAATATTGTCTATTATTTTTTATAAAATTATTGGTTTTTTAAATTTATGTGGATATTTATATTTCAAATAAAAATACCTTTTGCTTGATTAAAAATAAATAAAAGAAAGATTATATTATTGAGATATGTGCATACATTGAAATCTTACAATCAAGGCACAATAATCAATGTATCTAAAAAGTTGTATTATTTTTATTTACTTCTTCCATTTTATACATCCTTCTTCAACATTTAATTGTTAAATTTAGTTTTTTAAATTTTAAATTATACTTCCTTCATTTTATACCTCCGTCAATATGTAATTGTTATTTTAATTCTTACAAAAATGATTGACCACTTATCAAATTAAATTAAGGTTATATAAATTTAATATTTTAAGAAAAAAGTTTATACATTACAAAATTATTTTAACGAAAAGCAATATAAATAGTCATTATTTGCATATTAATATTTTAAAAAAATATAACACAAATTATTAGTCAAAATTATTATGTTTTACTATTAAAAAAAGATGACAATAAAAATGGACATGTGGATTGTTTTTTAATTTTTATGAAAATATAATTGTTGCATATTAATATATAAATATCTTAAAATTAATATTTTAAAAAAATATAACACAAATTATTAGTCAAAATTATTATGTTTTACTATTAAAAAAAGATGACAATAAAAATGGACATGTGGATTGTTTTTTAATTTTTATGAAAATATAATTGTTGCATATTAATATATAAATATCTTAAAATAAATAGTCATATTAATTGATCACATTACTAAAGCAATAAAAATTTCAATAATTTTTTTTACTATTCTTGCGCTTAATTTTATTTCTGAAAGTATTCATATTTATTTATATAATTCACATGAAGTATTTTGAGGCACGATTTAGAAAAATAATCTTATTTATGTTTTTAGTTATCACATAAAATTAATATTGATCAACAAATATGTGACAAATGTAATAACTCACATATACAATATTTTATTATATTTAATTTTTAAGTATAAATAACTTATGTTTATCATGAAAGTTGTAAAAAACTTAAATGTTTGAACCCCAAAACTACTTTACAGTGTAATTAAAATAAATTTAAAATATTGTCTATCATTTTTAATAAAATTATTTGTTTTTATAATTTATGTGGATATTTATATTTCAAATAAAATATACCTTTTGCTTGATCGAAAATAAATAAAAGAAAGATTATATTATCGAAACGTGTGCATATATTGAAATCTTACAATCAAGGCACAATAATCAATGTATCTAAAAAGTTGTATTATTTTAATTTACTTCTTCCATTTTATACATCCTTCTTCCACATTTAATTGTAAAATTTAATTTTTTTAAATTTAAATTATACTTCCTTCATTTTATACCTCCGTCAATATGTAATTGTTATTTTAATTCTTACAAAAATGATTGATCACTTATCAAATTAAACTAAGATTATTTTTATATAATATTTTAAGAAAAAAGTTTATACATTACAAAATTAATTTAACGAAAAGAAATATAAATAATTATTATTTTCATATTAATATAAAAAAAAATATAACACAAATTGTTAGTCAAAATTTTTTTATTTTACTATTAAAAAAAGATGACAATTTATAATGGACATATAGACTATTTTTTAATTTTTATGAAAATATAATTGTTGCATATTAATATATAAAATCTTAATATAAATAGTTATATTAGTGATCACATTACTAAAGCAATAAAACTTCAATAATTTTTTTTTACTATTCTTGCACTTAATTTTATTTCTGAAAGTATTCATATTTATTTATATAATTCACATGAAGTATTTTAAGGTATGATTTAGAAAAATAATCTTATTTATGTTTTTAGTTATTGCATAAAATTAATATTGATCAACAAATATGTGACAAATGTAATAACTCACATATACAATATTTTATTATATTTAATTTTTAAATATAAATAACTTATGTTTATTATGAAAATTGTAAAAAATTAAATGTTTGAACCACAAAACTACTTTACAGTGTAATTAAAATAAATTCAAAATATCGTCTATTTTTTTTATAAAATTATTGATTTTTTAATTTATGTGGATATTTATATTTCAAATAAAAATACCTTTTTGCTTGATTAAAATAAATAAAAGAAAGATTATATTATTGAGATGTGTGCATATCTTGAAATCTTACAATTAAGGCACAATAATCAAAGTATCTAAAAAGTTGTATTATTTTAATTTACTTCTTCCATTTCATACATCCTTCTTTAACATTTAATTGTAAATTTAGTTTTTTAAAATTTAAATTATACTTCCTTCATTTATACCTCCGTAAATATGTAATTGTTATTTTAATTCTTTCAAAAATGATTGACCACTTATCAAATTAAACTAAGGTTATATTTATTTAATATTTTAAGAAAAAAGTTTATACATTACAAAATTAATTTAACGAAAAGAAATATAAATAATCATTATTTGCATATTAATATTAAAAAAAATATAACACAAATTGTTAGTCAAAATTCTTATGTTTTACGCTAAAAAAATATGACAATTAAAAATGGACATATGGATTGTTTTTTAATTCTTATGAAAATATAATTGTTGCATATTAATATATAAATATCTAAATATAACTAAATTATATTAGTTGATCACATTACTAAATCAATAAACTTTAATAGTTTTTATTTCATTGTTCTTGCACTTAATTTTATTTCTGAAATTATTCATATTTATTTATATAATTCACATGAAGTATTTTAAGGCATGATTTAGAAAAATAATCTTAATTATATTTTTTATCATCGTATAAAATTAATATTATTAACTAATATGTGACAAATGTAATAACTCACATATATAATATTTTATTATATTTAATTTTTAAATAATAATAACTTATGTTTATTATGAAAATTGTAAGATCTTAGATGTTTGAACCACCAAATACCTCTATAGTGTAATTAAAATAAATTTAAAATATTGTCTATTATTTTTCATAAAATTATTTGGTTTTTTAATATATGTGGATATTTATTTTTCAAATAAAATATACCTATACAAATACCCCTCAACCTATGCCCGAAGTTTCATAGACACACTTATATTATACTAAGGTTTTATTACCACCCTGAACTTATTTTATTAGTAATTTTCTACCTCTTTTCGGCCTATGTGGCACGAGGTTGAAAAAAAATCAATCAGCATTGGCCCCATAAAATAATACCTCATAGGCTAAAAAGAGATAGAAAATTACTTATAAAATAAATTTAAAGGGTAATAAGTATAAATATGTCTCTGAAATTTCGGACATAGGTTAAAGGGGTACTTAAACATTATTCCTTAAAAATAAATAAGAAAAAGATTATATTATTGAGATGTGTGCATACATTGAAATCTTACAATCAAAGCACAATAATCTATATACCATGCATACATTGAAATCTTACAATCAAAGCACAATAATCTATATACCAAAGAAGTTGTATTCTTTTATTTTGTTTCTTCCATTTTATACATCCTTCTTCAACATTAATTGTTAAATTTAGTTTTTAAAATTTAATTTGATCAAGTTTCAAACTAAAATAAAAATTTAATTAATTATAGAATTCAATATGTTTTAAAATTATACTAATACAACTATAAAAAGTCATTATTCACATATGATTTTGAAGAAAACAAATATAGTAAATTATCAGTCAAACTTAATATTAATCAATTAATATGAGAGGAATGAATTATTTCACACACGTAATACTTTATTATATTAATATAGATGTTATATTTTAATATAATTGGATTACTTGGTAGTATGAATATTACAAAATCATTGATATTAGGATCACATAACAACTTTTTAGTTTGATTCAAAATACAGTATATTATTTTATATTTAATTAATTGTTTAATTTATTTATATTTTTATTTATTTTTCATATACTTTATTATTTTTTATTATTATTTTATATACGTGCCATGCATAAATATGTATACTAATATTAAAAAAATAGAGATTTTATATTATTTTACGTTATAATTTTATGATGTGACAAAAATTACTTTCTCACGCAACTATTCTTTCGATCTCATAGTGTACATTATCTTCCTCTTTTCTTGATTATCCCTCTTTAAATAATCAATCTTTTTCACCATCTTATAAGTTTCTTACATGGCACTTGTCAAAAACAGTGAATTTTGTTGAACCCCTTGGGAAAGGGTTAGCAATTAGTATATTTTTTGCACATAATTCATAGAGATGGGTGTGGAGGGTGTGGGGGGTGGGGGTGGGGTGGGGGGTTTGAGAGAGTAGAAGAGGTAAAAATGGGTGGTGGATCTTGGATAAATATGAGGGCATTTGATTGATATACAGTGCAAACAATATTGATTTTCCTTTTGGTAATGGTGGTTTCTTTTTATAGTGGAACACTTCTTATTGAAAAACCCATCTTTATATGTACCTCAACAAGAACAACAACAGCTTGAAAAGCAACAACAATTGTCTATTGCTTCTAATTTCAGTTCTTTAGAATCTATCTCTGGTTAGTACTCTTTTTTTGAAAATTATAAAGTTTAAATCTTTCAGTGCTAACGAAGAAGTTACTAGAGTATTTGAGTTATAGGGAATCTTTGTTGCAGTGTTGTTGAAGTTATGTTTTGTTTGGCTAATGACAGGAAGATGAAAACATTTAGAGTTGCTTTTAAGCAACGGGTGATCCTTTTTTTTCCTTTTTGGTATAAGAGAAAGTGAATATGCTTTTATGTTTTCATTGTGGGTGGTAAATTTGATAGAGATGAGATAATCAGGAGCTGTTTTGTGTTTTTTGTTCAAGCAATATAAAATCATCAATGCAGAAAAAAAAACTAATCTTTATCACTGCTGTTTACCATTTTTAGGTAATTGAATCATGTTTTTTTTAAAAAAAATTATTTGGTTCTAGACAGAATTGAAGTTACTGTACTCTGAGCAATTTGGGTAAATGTTGTGTGTCGCTTACATAGGAAAGACAGTGAGGTGGATTAGTAATGGTTTGGCTTCTATTTTGCCAAGTGGTTTAGTAGACATTGCAAATTTGGCAAGGACACTTTTGTGGTAAAAAATTGGACAATGTTCAGTGGAGTCGAATAACTGGTTGTTGATTATGTTATGCCCAATAGGACCACAAGGGATGTTCCATGGACATATCTCATGTTGCAATCTATGGTACTGGATATTTTATTGCATAGTTGTGGGATTGAAGCCCTTCCTGCAGAGTTCTGTTATTGTTTGATAGAGGAGAATAAAGGAAAAGTGTCTTCTATTGATAATGGAAGACTGAATAAATACATTGTAGCTAAACTAAGATGATGTTAAGTAATGCTAAAAAAATATGCTAAAACTAACAGTAGCTAACAGAATTTTAAACAAACTATGAATCAGAAAACAGCTAACATATAGCAATTTATTCTGATATGCACTTCCTCAACATTCTTCTGCCCTGCGTCATCTTCTAGCTTGAATTTAGGTCATGTAGTTCTAGAAGACAATTGGAACAATCCTACTGGCTCAAGAATTGCATACTCCAAGCTTCATTCTAAGGAGTTCATACCCATTAACATGAATTGGCTGAGTGAATACATCAGTTATTCGATCTTCTGACTTGCAATAAAACAATTTCACCTCTCTATTCAAACACTTCTGTGCTTCCTTGTTGCGCCAGATCAAGATCTAGCATAGTCTTCCTTAGCTAAAGAACTTGATTAACAACTGCTGTTGACTGTGCCACGATGCCTTGCTTCTTTGAGCACCGTGATAAACATCCCTAACCAAGGTGCCACGATACCTTGCTTCTTTGAGCACCATGATAAACATCCCCAACCAAGGCTAAAAAAATAACTGAGGTGCTTTTCATGCCATCTAACCTCGCAACTTGAAGTTCTAACTTTTCCCGAACCTAATACCATGGTCCAAAGTTCTCTTGGCATACCTTATCACTCTTTTGGCTACTTTCATGTGCATTTCACTTGCACAATTCAGAAATCTAGATCATACACTTTCCTGCTTGCAGAATGTTGGGTCTTGTGGCAGTGAAATACATGAGACATCCAACCATACTTGTATAACTTACCTTGTCACTACTTTCATCTTTAATCAACTTTTCTTTCTTATTCCTTGGAGTGTTCATAGGTTTGCAATCTTCCATTTAGAACTTCTTCATTATCTCCCTTGCATATTTATTTTGGCTAATTAACACTTCATTTTGGGTTTGACAAATCTGCTGCGCTCCAAGAAAGTAAGACATTTCTCTCAAGTCTGTTATTTCGAACACTTTCTTCATCTTTATCTTCAATTCATCTATCATTTCAAGGCTTTTGCCTATTACATGAAGATCATCAACATAAAGTGATATAACCACCATACTAGAATCTCCTTTTTAATAGGGAAAAGAGTCTAATTTACCCCTCAACTTTGTCATTTAGAGCTGATATACCTCTTGTTATGAAAGTGACTCATATATACCCCTACTTATAAACAAAACTAATATGAAAAAACAAGAACTTTAATGTAATTTTTTTTTCTAAAAAATATAATCCTATATGTGTAAATTTAATCCTCGTCAAACATATTTTTTTTACTTTTTTTGTTTCAAAGACTAATTTAGAATTATTATTTTGATAATCAAAATTTATTTATGTTTCACTAATATTCTTGTAAACCTTATTGTATTGTAGATGGCCAATTTTTTTTTCGAATACAAAAATTAAATTACAATATAGACATAAGAAATAGTTATAAATATTTTTTCTTTACACTAAGGAATGAAAGAGAAAAAATAAGAATAAGAAACTCAAATAATTATGATAAAAGAAGTCAAAAAATAATTTATGTATGAAAAAAATTAAAATATACCTTGAACTTTGATAGAAGAATCATATATATCTCCAGTAATTTTTAAAAAAATTAAAAGTAAAAAATATCAATTTAAAACTAATTTTTTCATTTTCGTTAAATGAAGGGTATATGTGAGCTCATTTGTAACGGCAGGGGTATATGTGAGCTGTTTGTATAACGGTAAGGGTATATATGAGTCACTTTCATAACGAGGGGTATATCAGCTCTAAATGACAAAATTGAGGGATATATGAGACTCTTTTCCCTTTTTAATAAATAGAGTTTATTCGCTTAGGATTTTCTTAAAACCTAATCCTTGCAAGTGATCATCAATTCGACTGTACCAAGCCCTTGGAGCTTGTTTTAAAACTAAAGGGCTTTCTTCGATAGATACACTTTGTCGTCTTGTCCCCTTACAGAAAAACCTTGAGGTTGCTCCATATAAATTTGCTCCTGTAGAAAATCATTTTAAAAAGATGACTTGACATCTAATTGGAAGATTTTCCAACCTCTTTGAGCAGCAATAGTTAGTAACAGGCTTTTAGTATCAAGCTTAGCACTGGAGCAAAGGTTTCTGATTTATCAACTCCAAAATTTGTGAGTAACCTTTCACATTAAGTCTTGCCTTGAGCTTGTTAACCGATCCATTATCATTTAATTTCATACGATAAACCCACTTCACACCAATGATCTTCATATGTTGTGGTTTTCCATAAGCTACCAGGCTACAACTTTCTTAATCATGGCAAGCTCCTCCTCCATTGCAGCTTGCCATTTGAGGATCTGAAACGGCTTCTTAAAATCCAGAAGGCTCTAAAATGGCCACATTGTGCATCTCTGGTATATGCAGAGTGACCTTGTTCCTCTCACAGGTTGATCATCAATGTCCTCATCTAAATCTAGTAGATTGCTTGTAATCTGCTTCTGGTTAACCTTTTCCAGTCCTATTGCTCATTCTCCATACAAAAATACGTCTCTGCTTCCCATAATTTTCCTTACATGAGGCTGAAATTTTTTGTAAGCTTTGGAGATCGTACTATAACGAATAAAGACTCCAGATTCAGTTTTCTTATCTAACTTGTCCCTCTTAAAATGTGGATATGAGAGAAACACAAACAACCAAAGATAATTAAATTTTGTAAGGACGACTTATACCCGTGCCATGCCTCAAAAGGTGTCTTTTTCCTTCATGGCTTTTGTTGGCAACCTATTCAGCAAAAGAAATAGTAGTGCTAGCTGCTTCTGCCCATAACATTTTTTGATAGGCCCTTCTCATATAACAAGCATCTCGACATCTCCATTATCAATCTGTTCTTCCTTTCACTAACACTATTTCACTGCGGAGTATATGGGACAGTGAGTTGATGCTCAATTCCTGCATTTTCTCAAAACTTTTCAGATTGATCAGAGGAGTAGTCGGTACCATTATCTAATCTAAGCATTTGAATCCTGCAACCACTTTGATATTATACCAAAGCCTTGGGTTTCTAGAACTTCAGGTATTTCAGATTTGAATCTGAGAAAATAAATCCAACACAATCTTGTCACATCATCAATGAATGCTATAGCATATTTACTTCCATTAAGAGAAGTAGTCCTATGTGGTCCACACAAATTAGTATGGACTAAGGTGGCCTGTTTGGATTGGCTTTTGGCTTATAGATTATAAGCCAAAAGCCATAAGTTAGGATTTCTAACTTATGACTTATTTTTGTTATTTTGGCTTTAAAATAAGTGCTTATAAGTGTTTTTTAATTTTACCCAAACACTTCAAAACTGCTTAAAAACTATTTTGGCTTAAAAGCACCTAAAATAAGCCAATCCAAACGGGCACTAATTGAAGCTTCAATGATGCTCTGCAGGTTGCCTTGGCAAAAGACATCCTACTTTGCTTTCCCGATTGACGTGTGTTGCAAGTGGCGTGTTCATCCTCCATAAGTGATAGTCCTCGAAGGCTCGAAGCATATCTTTCTTCAGCATGTAAAAGAGTGTCCTGTGATGGAAATGTCTGAGTCTCTTAAAGCCATATATTTGTTGTCATCTTTTGGCTTAGACAGGCAACCAACTTTTCCTCTATTGGATCAAAGGAAAAACTCTTTCCTCTCATTTTAACTTGACAAATTTGTTGGCCCTTTAGGTCATAGATCACACACTTCTTAGCCTCAAACATAAGCTT